GTTGTATGTTTACACTTCTGAGTTGACGCTGTTGTATGTTTACACATCTGAGTTGACGCTGTGTACAATGTGTATATATTGTCCTTGTGTGTTGATACAATGTTGTTGTTTAGTTTTTTCCTACTTGGTTTGTTTTATTATTGTTTATTGACACTGTGGTTTATGTTATCTGTGTGTGTTGATGCTTCTGTTTATTTTCTACTTTACTTCTATTGGTAATATCCTTCTCTTTAAAAGGAAGGAAGAAAGAAAAAGTACGTTAGCATTTCAATCTGCTTTTTGCATTAAGCAAAAGTATCCCATTTGCAATGATGATAACTGCACAAGCTTTCACAGAATTTTAAAGGGAATGCTCGTTTTGCTATTACAGCATTTCCTGAATTTCTGGTCTACTGTACCGATCAATATCAATAGTTGTACGTGAGACCCAACGTTGTGTCGGAAACTAAATGACAATATCAATTTCCTAAAATAAAATTCATTAAACATGCATTTGCTACATTGTTTTTTCAGTGTTTAGATTTAAATTGATTGCGTCGATATATAATGACGAGTGATCCATATTTAGATAAAACCTAAAATGCCTTGTTATGTTTATCAATGTTTAATGTCAAAACCAATATCAAGCGTACTGTCGGCATAACGTTTTGTGTTATATGTTGGGGATCGAATAAAGTGTAGAACATCACTTTTATCATTAATTAGTCTGCATGGACGATATAGATAAAATATTTATTGCACACCAAATCGGCGGAGACAAACGGAGGGTGACAGAGAATAAGAACAGAAGACAGTGACAGTGAAAATAACGTTATTTTTATCATAATAAAATATGTAGCAACTTTGTTTGACTATTTATAGGATATAAACGGTAAAAAAATATTCTGTTTATCATGCTTTGTAATTTCTTCAGCAATTGTTTAATGGCAAAGCAGAAACTTTTTTCAAATGGCAATCTTGCCTGCCATTATGAACGCCAACTGCTGTTTCAGTACACGAATATTCCTGAACATTCATGATATTATGCAACGGTTGATAATGCTAAACACATGTCTAGCTGTATACCACAGTTATCTTCACAAAGCTTAACCTAGTTTTTCCCTTTGACAGGTATCGGCTATGAGACTGCCAAGTTTATAGCCATGATGGGACCAACCGTCATCATTGCATGTCGTTCAAAGGAAAAGGCTGAAAGAGTAAGCTTTCATATTCGTCCGGTTTTTGTCCCTTTCATTCCGTATCCCCTGGCTATCACACAACACATGAACTTAACTTAATAAACACCTGTCATAAATGCACCAATGATTGTGAAGAACATGCTAGACAGTCTACATGTAATGCATTGAAAACAAAAGATTAGTCATTGTATGTGGCAAGAGCATATTAGTGACATCCTACTTTGTATACTTAGCATAGGAATAATGATATTGTCACCAACTGCACATTGCCCACACATGACGATCTGCATGAATGCTTTACGTTTTGTCAGGATTAGATTTTAAGATACAGAACCCGGATATTCTACACGGATACCTAGAAATTTAACAATCTGTCCCCTTTGATTAAGACCCCCTTATCTCATTTCAAAGAGGATAAACGTTTATTTCATTCAATTAAACAAAACAAATGTTATGTTTTCATGTATTTTAAGCAATCTCCATATTGTTACCTACACAATGAAATCAACATATGTGACCAATCTAAATATTATATAAGTATGTTTTGTTATCTGCATTGTCAGTTTTTGAATGATACAACACCGTATCTGTTACACATTAATCTGTAAACTAAAGATAGAAATACTGATATTGTCACCAACTACAAATCGCATTCACATGGTTATCTACAAGAATGATTTACGTACATTGTATCATAAGGATTAAAGTTTAAGATATAAAAACCGGATATTCTAAACAAATACCAACAAGTCAGTCCTAATATTCCGAGTATTAATTCAAGATCCTGGTATGTTAATTCAAGTAAAAAATAGGGATACTGGTATTATATGGACTATTCCAAGTAATGACTAAGGATCCTTGTATTTAATGCCAAATCGTGGCGCAGTGGGTAGCGAACTCGCCTTTCACGATGACTGCCACGGTCCGATTCTTTGATCGGACCTGAAAAGGTATGGGCCAACTGCCCAACCACGTAGGTTTTTTTCCGGGAACTCTGGTTTTCTCCCAAATAAAGACCTCATGTGTGCTACCATTTTCGCCAACTGGAGTGATAAATAAAAGTTGATAGTCCTTGTTTTGCAATTTTGTTGTAAAATAAATCAAGCATGATTAAATTTAAATGCCGATTCAAATTTCATATACTATCTTATTATGAACTGTAGGTTTATCTCGAATGTGTGTTTTGTAGTTTCTTGTTTGATAAAAGCATCTTGAAACTAAATTTCAAAAAACAAAAGAACAATTTATCAAAAATCAAAATGAAACCGAAGTGTGTAAAAACGTAACCAGGCATCTGTTGCTGGTGTTCTGACGAGATGATTTGTTTAGCACGGGAACCGAAGCCGAAACACCGTTAATTTAATTCACTTAATAAGTATCAGTACCCATTATATAATTGACACAGTATGGAGAAAAAGCATAACTTATTTTTTGAAACAAACAAAATAACAATAATGTATACATCTTTTATCACTGGATCAGTATCAATATCCGTTATGTTATTGACACGCTATAAAAAAGGTCAAAATCTATTTGTTGAAACAAAAGAACACTTTCTCGGTGTGTGTTCTTTACCTGGAGATAATTTGGAATCAAACGATATAGTTTTTTTTATTCTGATTGATAAATGTCACGAATTTTACATTTACGTTACTTTAGAAATAAACAAAGAAACCTCGATGAATTCAAGTCCTGATTTTAATATACACAGTAGTTATTTTCAGGTGACATTCTGTAATATAAATATAAACATTTGTAATGCTTTCCCTTACCCTGGACAAGTGTATCCACACTTTTCCCGGTGTGAAATATCCCTATTGCAAGCAAGACATTCCTCAAGCATAACAACGGTAAGACGCTATGTCAACATTGCATCCACCTCTTGCAAACAACGCATTGAGTCAATAACTTTTACATCCCTTTCTACGAAGGCCAGGGTCAACAGGGTAAGAGAAAAAGAATCATTCACCCCATTGAGTAAATGTTGGGGAATCCAAACCCTCTGGGGGGAATCTTAAGTTCCCAGACACTTGGTAAGTCCCTTGTTTGGAAATTTACGAATCTGCCCCCCTTTTGTGATATCCCATTATCTCATCTACAAGGGAATGACGGATTCTTTTGATATCTATCCAAACAAAAAAAAGGTAATTGGGCAGTTATCACATGTACATGTAATAAGCAATCTCCATAATGTTACCTACATAATAAAATCAACATATCCGACCCATCTAAATATTACATGAGCAAGCACCGTTATCTGCATCTTGTTATGATCATATTGTAACTACCATAATCGAACAAACTGCTGCTTATAATTTACCATCATCAATAATATACGGTAATATAAATGACGTCATCCACATATGTACATCTAAATAGATTTATACAGTTACCTGATTAGATTTTAAACATTTTAATTGAAGAATATACAGAATCTGTACATCTTACAAAGGTACTAAGGTTAAAATACGTTGTGTAATTTAATCATGTGTTATATGCATTTGCATTTATACAACAAAGTGATACACACGTGTGCTAAGGTCTGTAAACGTATCATTTGATACACCAATGACTGATCGTAAGAAGCAACTAATGTGAGAGTTCTGCAGACGTGTATTTATACAATATATGGTAAGGTATTCAACAATAGAACACTTAACGTCACTTTATGTTGTAAAAGTTTCATCCGAGAAGTGTGTATTACGTTTCTATTACATCTACATCTGACGAGACATCTAAGGGAACACAATTCGTCTGTTAGCCATCATAATGTCTCATCTTCATGCGGTTTCTGTTTATTGCAATTACGTTAAACAATTTTCAAATAAATTAATAAAGGTCACGTTAACATTTGTATAGTTTTACTATTTACTTAATAGTTTAACTTAAAAAACATGATACACACTGTTAAGAGTTAATGCTGATTTGCTTGTATGCTTTGTAAATACTTGAACGCAAATAACATGCTCTTTCTCAATGATAACAAACATCTATATCCGATTCAAGTATGTATTTAGCTGTATTTTGAAAGTACACTCCATATCAAAATTAAAAACTTTGACTTATGAATTTGCTATCAAACTACATACGTAAAGCCTGCTGGAAAGCATTCTTCTCGTGCTCCCGGTATTATGCAATGCTTTATTCACATAATGAAAGGTATACGGGTAGCTTCAGAATTTTAAAATACCGGACAATAGCATATACAGTTATACCGTCGCAAAATTCATTAAATGTTCTGACTTATTCTACATTTTATGTAGATAAGGTATCAGTTTCGATGACTTTTTTTCATAATTGTACTTGGGTACTACATTTACATGTAATGAACGTATTTTGTCCGTAGTATCACTCAACCCAAATTAAATACATGTATGATAATATACCTTATGTATTTTTGTACAATGCTCTTTTATGCAGGCTATAGAACAAATGAACGAAGAATTCCAACAGGAGAAAGAGAATTCAACACAGAACATAATAAGCGATGACCGACTAAGCTTAGAGTTTGGTAAGCTGGACCTGGCCAGTCTTAAGTCAACTATGGATTTTGTGGAGGAGTTCAAGGCATCCGAACGAAAACTGCACGTTCTCATCTGTAACGCTGGAGTCATGATGGCTGACGAGAGTAAGTTTTGATATTAAGGGTATATATCACCTTATGTGACAGTATACTCCATTCCAAAAGAGTTCTTATGAAACACCTTTGACAAATGGTTATTTAGATAAGACATTTTAACTGAAAACATCTTTCAACTCTTTATTATATTACAAGACTTGATACAATTTGGGAAATGCATCATTATTTAATAACGCATTGTCTTTAGAATGCCAATACAGAAAACTGTTCCAAAGCTTAATTACAAGGTAATAGCGTAAGGTAGTAAACCACCTTAAAATGACATTGTTGCGAAGAGCCTATACTTTTGAATTCTATTAAAAGGGGGTTATCAGTTATCCTTTGCAATATTTATAAGAACTTCAAAGGATAGCAGCTGTCAATCCTCTTTAAATAGTGAAGGGTACAACCCCACTTCCAAAGTTCTACAGATATGTAGTGCAAGCTAGTTTTGGGTTCAGACTGTCTTGCCTTTTTTAACCTCTCCGCTCCTATTTCTGTAATTTTCTTAAACTCCTTTTATCTTTGTACGTTGACTTTGTTTTCCTTTAGTTTCCTGAAGCATATCGATGATGTGCAAGGCCTTACAACACAAAATTATGTTGTTGTCAAAGGAACGGTGGTAACTATCGCGGAAACGTGATAAGAAAATTCCTGCAGGAATGATGCAAATGCAAAACATTAAGAAAATAAGGCCTATAGCCATGTCAATAATGATATTGAAATTGGTCATCCATGTGCCCTATCTTTATATACTACTAATACATTGTAAATGGAATTGAACATGTGTCGCTCGTTTTGAAATATGGATTTGTTGGGCGCTAGACAAATACAGTACCTTAGTACAGTTACTAGGCCTATAATGTATTACAATGAATGACTATAAACCTATAAACGCCAAGTAGCACTACATATCCTGGCATTTTTCAATTGAGGGTACTTAATAATTAACCTGCGTCGTGTGACACCTGCAGTATCAATGGAATGGCAAAGCTGTATTATAAATATTACATATTTTTCATATTGTATTGACACAGACTGCTTACATAAAAACGTCGAGGATGACATGTTTTAGTCTGACGAGAAACTTTCAGATTCCAATAAAAGGAAATGTATATCGATAGCTAGTGTGCTTTTAACACAATTGAAATACATAAAGTCGTAATCATTGTAAGCCTATACTGTATACACCACAGTACTTGGTCTTTTATATCACTGAATATACTTTCACTTCCCTTAAATTTACATCATTCTTCTTTTTTGTGTTTTTGTGATATCGACATTTTAAGTAGAAATGAACAAGTGTTGTCAATGTCACTTTCTATATAAGACTTTTATGATTGACACTCTTTATTTCAATTTGTTTTGTTTATTTAGTTGTGACAGAAGATAATTACGAGCTCACATATCAGGTAAGTGTTATAACTGCCAAAGACATTTCTCTCTTACTGATATTTGGATTAAAGAAAACCTTGACATGGTTCATGACTATTTATTTCTCAGATCGGAATCAGGAATAATTGATTTTCAGGAAAAACCTAAGGTTTTCCAGAAATAATATGAAAAATATAGAAGGGGGAATGCTGCCCCTATCCAACCACACACGCACCATCCAAACAATACTCTCATCCACCAACCCCAATCCAACGCCAATTCGTGATTGAAATTCCAATTTCACGTACAGTATACCATCCGTTTGGGAACTTTCATATATTTACATATATAGGGATCAATACTAAATTGCTTTATTTGAGAGTTGATTACGGATTAGAATATGTCGTGGACATATACTATTCAGAAAAACATCGTCAAGAATTATAGCATTTTGAGAACTCCGATCTTTAGAAACGTGTGATTGGAAAAACTGAAAAAGGCAAGAAACAGAAGCTCATTTAAGCTTCCAAAATATAATATACCAATGGTAAGAAATGAAAAAGAAAATGTACACAGTTGTTGCATTTTGACAGATTTGTTGTATATTTATGCACATCATGTACATGCAATTTAGATGCTGAACAAAATACAAGTATTGATTGTCAATGGGGGAGAGAGTAATGCAATATTGATGAATGTTAGTTGCAGGCGTGCTATTGTATCCCTCTTGACGGAGTCATGGTTTCGCTTTAAACGACACAAAATCGGTTTACTATACAACATTCCTATAACAGTAATGTAAAGTAATCCAATCTGTTTGGTTCATAGAAATTAAATATATAAAATAGATACTACGTAAAGAGATTTTCATAAAAAAAAGATATTTGTATAATGATGTGCGCCAACCTTTCCACGAATAAATACATTATTACCATATCTTTTATGTTTTTAGAGAGACAACTTGTGTGTTTAAATCAATTCCTCATATGACAAAAAGATGAAAGGTTTCTATTTTATATAACGTGACTTGATCAAAGACAGTTTCCTGCTTTCGCCTCAGGATTATACGATAGCGACTGATCAAATGACCCGATTGTATGATCATGCAAATTATGTTACAAAAATGAGTAATTTTTATAACTGAACTTGAGTTTTAAATTTGCATATGTTACATATCGTTCATACAAAACTTAAAAACTGTTTGTGCTGGTTTGTTATTCCTCTTGTTTGATATAAAAAAAATCTAATTTCAGGTTAATTACCTAAGTCAGTTCCTGATCATGGCAAATTTGCTCCCGATCATGAAAACTTCCGGAAATGACGTCAGAATAGTTCTGGTGTCGAGTGCAGCACACAAGCATTGTCATTATGATGCTAACTATGCGGCAGGACAGCGAATGAAAAACCACGATCCACTACAATGCTACAGTAACACGAAGTTGTATCAGGTAACTTTACATAGAAACGGATTATTGCGAATATATGTAGAGTATTTTAAAACGAAAATTTCAAATTATGTAGAACAATTTTACTGTTCTATGTCGAAGATATTGACTGAAATAACCTAACAATTGACGTTTTTATAAATGTATGTCTTTGCAACAGTTTATGTCATCGCTATGACAACGAACATTTCAATTGATATCAATGATAACTTCAAATCCTACTTTATCCTGTTTTCTCTCCCATTTTTTCATGATATGGACGATATATAGGCGGGTTTTTTAATACATGCGCTCATACCTAGGTACATTATATAATAGTGCCCATTCCATCCAACTGTCCTGAATATGATGGAATATTGAGTTAAAAAGATCTTAGGTAAAGGGAATTCATTCGAGACCCTCAAAGTTTTATAATTTATGAGATATATCAACAATGGCTTGTCAAGTACCAGCTTTAAAATCTGTTTTGTGGCTTAGTGGATTCATTATGTAACCACATTATGTCCATTTACAAAAACAAAATCATTATATCTTTTCCATTGTTTTGGTAAAAGTGGCACATTGATACATTATATACGTTATGAATATATTTCTAACAGATAATGCAAATGTATAGCATAGACCGGATGCTGGAGAAGACACACGTCGAATTATATTCTGTACATCCGGGATATGTGGCCAAGGACCTTTACCGGCGAAATCGACACTTTGGATCAAAGTTCAACTGTTATCGATGTTGTTTGAAATGTTTATGTAAGTTGTAACACTGTTACAGTTAACAAGTGATTTCAAAATAATTTAATATCAAGAAAAACATGACATTAGGGAAGATACAACTGCTGATTCTTTAACGGCAACATTTAGTTTTGTATTGTACAATGATAACTGACTTTGAAAACATGTAATGAAATATAAGAACTTGTTGCCAAATGATTTTTATTTTACCAACATTCTAGTTTAATTCCGGCCAATGATCCAGTCCATAGTAGTGACATTAAAGACAGGCTTTAGTGTAGTGGATCATTTCATATAAACTGCTAATCTTAAATGTCAGTAAAAGGACTTCAGTTTCAGGAAGAACCACCCCCTAACCCTAGGGATGATATTCTTAATTGTCTAATCCGAGGCTTGCTTCAAGCCGTTGGTAAGACATTAAGGAATCTAGAAGCATACCCTTACCTAAAGACATGATTCTTTTCTCCCCTGCTATCAATTATTTATTTGAAAACATTAGTTATCAGAATGTGTAATCTATAAAGCTGATTGTGACGTCATAAATGTATGCCTTGACGTCATCTCACATTTTCTTTCTGCATTTTATCCGTTACACCGTCGGAGGCGAAAGAGAAATTGCTGCTGATTTACATTCTCGATTAATTTGGCAACACTCTGAGTATGAGGAACATAATATTATAAAAAGACAGGTTTAACTTACATCTATATCAGGTTTATTTTCTTTGTTACAATGTTTTACGGTTTCCTTCAGCGCTGATTGCCAAATTGTTGAAATAATGTTTTGTAGGTATGGTCAAGACCCCTCGAAAGGGTTCCGCCACGACGTTATACGCTGCTGTCAGTCCTGGACTGAAGGGCCTTAGTCGAGCCTACTTCACTCACTCCCGGGACGCCCCCGCGTTTCCTAGTCGGACCGCCAGGTACGTATGTTAACAAAGATATTACAATACCAGTGACATTTGTATGAACAGAACACAACAGAGAACAGATATAATTTTCATTTGTAAAAGATTTATTCATACAGCTGTCAGAGTATTGTCATTTACGTACACATTCATTTTGTAGAATATATCTGTATGACATTTATTTTGCATTCTTACAACAATATACCGCTGTTTACACGTGAATTGAAGGACAACACTTTTCCAAAAAAAATTATGATTATTTTTTTTTATTTTTTTTTTATTATTTTTTTTTCATTATTTTTTCATTTTTTACAAGACAAGACAAAACATATAT